TTCCTCTTTTCCTTACTTCAGTTTTTGATGGATGCTCTTTAGAATGGTTCTCTTTTCCCATCTCAATCTTGTTTTGAAAGTGTGATTTTTTTCTTGCTTTTTCTTTATATGTGTAATGAGAAGTGGGGATTAGATGCTTTCATTAGATTTTTCTGTTTTATATTTTGCATAAATACCTTATAAGATTTGCATGACTCACTGGGCCACAGTGGTGACCCCTCAGCGCCACCACCGCGGCTTTGTGCACTGGGCCTTCCCGTTAGCTTGTAAGAGTAGCATGCAGTTTAGTGGACCCAGAAGGAAAGTATTTGATTCCCGGTATACTGTGCCCCTTGTGTCCTTGCTGCAGACTTTTCTTACGTAGTTATCTGTTATAGATGAGCTAGGATGGTTGCATTTGAAATTTAACACCATGATTCATATTCACATTTTGAAATTTAACTCCATCTACCTGCAAGTCGCATAGATGAGCTAGGATGGTTGCATGTTTCCCTCCAAACCAATATCAAAAAAAGACATGTTCTTAAGCTGGGAGAATAAAAAAGTGTGAAAAGAGTTTTGAAGTTCTTTGTTGTCAACGCATACTAATCAATGCAGCTAATAATGGGCCTTATTAGAGCTAGGAATTAGAGGCCCTACAACATACTAGATTGGTACTTCCTAATTGAGGAGGAAGTCCAACTCTTATGTATATATCTGCTCAATGAAGATAAGATGTCTAAACTTTGGTTGCACCATTATGTGTGGTGGTGGGAGTTTTAGGATTAAAGAACCTATTATTAATTTTATATTCTATTGTGATTAAAATATGATATACCATACTTTGGTTAATACCACAACATATATAAAACTAAGGACTATGTTTTCTTCTTTATGGATAATCGTGGAGAAGTTTAGGAAAGAAATTGTAGTAAATGTAACAATTGACAATGAGACAAGCTACAGAGTGCTTGCAAATTATTGATGGAGAGGATGAAACATATGTTTTGGTCACCCTATGTAGCTCATTATATTGATTTGATGTTGGAAGATATTGGCAAGATGAAATTAATCAGGGAGACCTTGGATGATGTGAAGATGATCACATCATTAATCTATAATAGTCTTGAAATGGTGAAGTAGATAAAAAAAAAAAATCTTGATAAATAGAGATTTATTGAAGCCTGTTATACCATGGTTTGCCATTGAAAGTCTTTTTCTCTATGAGACTAACTTGAAAATAAATAAAGGGGTTTAGAGTACCTATAATCATAATGTGACAACTCTATAAAGGCACGTGTGAATATTGAAGAAGACTGGATGGAGAAATAGAGTTTCACTATTTGAGCCAAAACATATCTAGTCAAACAGATATAAGAGGTAGGCCGACCAAAACAAGAAGACTATTCGATGATGGTTGGTTCGGTTGGCAACACCCCCTGAAGGTACGAAAATTTTCCCCTGTGCAATAACATACACAACTGTTGAATGGTATGATTTCAACAAGACCAGAAGAAAAAAATTGAAGACATAAGGTCTCAATTCTAATTTTGACTGAGCAATTCTGGATAAAAGCAAGGGAAATTCAATCCTGCAATCCCTTACGAAGCCTCTCGTAAGGGTCTTAAAGATGATGGATCAAGACTAGAAGGCTACTTTACCCATCGTCTATGTAATAAGTCATGAAATTTATAGTATGTTTTTTAGTCGTAGAACTTCACCCATCGCATATCATTATTCAGGTTGAGGAAACATATTCTCTAAGCCCTTGCTTCGTCCTCCAAATAGGAATACCAAGTAAGATTCTTAATTCTCGGCCATGTGTCAATGATAGTGTCGATCAGGGATTGATAGTTGAGCCCACTATTAAGTACATTGAATGGTATTACGTTAAAGAGGAAGAACATCGAAATAATTTTCCTAATTGAGAACATATCTTTAATTGATTTTTGGAAGAAAATATGTACAAAGCAATGCCATTCAGGGGCACGTTGGCTTCTAGATTGTGTTATTTATTTTTGGGTAGGGGAGTTGAGATGAGAGAGACTACAATACTATGTTGGTCTCGTTCATGTACATAGTGAGAGAACCTTAGAGACGAAGCTCATGACGTGATCGGAGGCTTAGAGCGTTGGTGATAACATTGGGAAGAATAAACAATGTTGCACTTTCTGTGAGACCACAAAATCTTCATAAAGAAGAAGAATGGAGTTTTTTGCATTCAAAGAAATTCTTCCATGATTTTTTACAAGTTTGTCTTACGAATTAACTCAATTCCTTGTACCTTTTTTATAATGACAAATTACACTTTGACCCTCCTTAATTGTTATGTTTATCATATTTGGACTTTTAACGATATTATTAATTCTACATTGTCCTAATCCGTAATGTTTTTTACAAATTTGAAGAAAAGTTATGACTTCACCTCTCAACCTATGTGTTTTTTTCACTTTTTCCTAGACATGTTGACAATTTGCTTCCAAAAGATAACGAGCATTTATATTTGGGGCAGTGAGAAATAATTCAAAAAGTTGAAGGGGCAATGTAAAAGATTCAATAATTCAGGAGCAAAGTCAAATTAAGTCCATAGTTAAAGGGGTTAAAGTGTAATTTGTCATTTTTACAATGACAAAAAGGTATGATTTATGGGTTGAATAACCACACAATTGCATTAGTGCTTCTATGTGTTGGATTTGATAGACCATAGAACACCATAGGGGTTTCTATAAGGTTGTGATATGCACTTTTTGCTTTCTTTCCTATTAATCTAGTTTTGTTTGGCCTTTTCTTGTAGGTCGGGTCTTCTTTTATAGATGCGAGTCCCAAGTCCCATGTCCCTCATCTCTTTTGTCTTTTCTTTGGCATCTTCTCTATTGCTTGAGATTTGGTGAACGATTTTGAGGGTATCGATTTAATGCAAATGTGAGTCATCCAATTCAAATGAGATGATGTGCCAATGCTATGTCATAACCGTGTCTAACAATGATTTATGAGAACCTTCATGATATTTATGTACCATTTATCATTATTGAAAGCTATACGACTAAATTGACACATTGACGTTGTACCCTGACAATAGCACCCTTATAATTTATTTTCACTATGTTTAAGGTGTTTGATGATATATTTTGGACTTACGATGCATGGATTTTGTTTACATTTATTAGAATTTTTAAGGATTCTTTTAGTATTTTTTGGACGTATCAACCAATATTGTGCAGGGATGCCATGACCGCTGTGTGTTGGTAGCCTCCCAGTTGATGACACCTTGAATAATGACCCTTAGATTCGTATGGTGCTCCAATTATTGGATTATAGGATATCCTTGGGTTAACAAGTGCCCATGTTACATGTTTTTCCAGTGCATTTGATTTGCACTCCTTGGATAAGCTTAAGGTATGACATAATGACAAAGGTTTGGGGTTTCATATTTTTCAACCTCTTTTGTATGCCTCTCCATTTCTTTACTTTTCTCTGTTTCAACATACATTCTTCTGGTTCTTGATATGTATAACGATAATCAGCAACAACAAAACTACGGATTATGAGCTTCTAACAGAGTGTCTTCCTTCTTTTGAATTTATGAGAGTAACATGTTGAGTTCATTGATGTGCTTCAGCCCCATTTATTAATTGTTCTCCATCATCTGTTTTCTTTCCTTTGTTTACGTTGTACTAAACTCCAGCATCTTGTTTTCTAATTTGGTGCTCTCATAATTCTAACTTTTATTTGAAGCAATTGCATATATGTGGTGGTATATATGCCATTAGTATACTGGGTGGCTGTTGGGATTTAATAGTTGTATGTTGATTCTCTAGTGCAATCACTTAGTCTGCTAGGTTATCTATTTGTCTAAATGAATAATCGCTACGTCATATTTTCTTTGTAGTTAATGTAGGGTTATATCATCTGTGCTAATGTGAAAATGTTGTAGTGAATTCTAGAACCATATTAATCAAAATTGCTTTTGGATGGTTTCTAGGGTCATCATCATAAAGAACATGGATAGGAATATATGTGAAGATGTCTTGGCTTGCTGTAACAAGAAGAATAACACTTCTTGAGCTATGCTTTTGTGCTAATTCACCATAATATGTATTGCATTTCACCCTAGATCCTATAAATTATCTTCTTTCCATTCCTTTGAAATGGAAAGTTATTTCCCTATATAAGCAATGGAGTTTCTTCAAAACTTATTATTTAGTTAAGGAAATGAAGATGTTATCATCTAATAGCTCTTATGGTAACCTATCCTGTGACAGGTGGGTGACATTGAGCAATCTTCTTCATAAGGGACTATTTTGCAATAAAACTTAGGAGATCACTGAAAAACTAATTAACCTTCAGGTCCACATAACGTACTTCATAACTGTTTGAGTTATGCAAGGTACCCCCTTAACCACTTCATAATTGTAACAGAGCTTATATCCCATAGTGTGGCCGTAATCCATAACTAAAATCAACTCTTCACAAGTTTTCCTGAATGTCATTTCCAACACTTTTACTATAAGACTCTCGATTATTCTTAGTCCTATCTTGAGATTCATTGAAGTTATATGTAAGCAAAAGAAAGAAACAAAGTTTTATATTATTAGAGGATGGAAAGTTAAAAGGGCTAACAGCTTTCAGGAGAAATAACATGAAAATGCTGTTGATGGATGATTCGATTCTCTGTTGTATTTATGGTAATGAGTGTTGTCTCTCTGAAAGAACTGTTATTGATGGTGTCACTTCTTTAACCGTTCTTTATTATGTTGTTATATGTGACACATTTCCCTGATTGTTGTGAGGCTTATGCTGGAAGCTTTTGGAAGCAACTTTTGTGTGATATTCATATTGTTTGGGCATGGGTTTTACCAGAATGATGGGCAACTGAATTTATGATTCATCTTTTTACAAATAAAGCAGTTTATATTGCTGACTGAACCTGGGTCTAAGTCAAATATCCATATCAAGTGGAACACTCCTGAAATGGTGATTGATATAAAAGTGTCTAGATGGAAACAATTTTTTTAGTAATAATGATGGTTGGGGGTGCGAATGGTAGAAATGCAATAGTTCTTGATGTGTTGCATTCATTTGGCTTCCAGCACTATCAGTTCCAGGATGCTAACTTCAGGGTTTTGTTTCACATTATATGGATAATCAGAGAGCTAGCAAAAATCCATCTAAAGTTTTCCACTCTATTTTTCAATTAATCGGCACTGCAACCATGTTGGGTTTTGCTGACATGCTCTGACCTCATTTTTTATATCTGCAGTATCTGGATGAAAACAAATCACTGATTCTGAAGATTGTTGAGAGCCAGAACTCAGGGAAACTGAGTGAGTGCGCCGAGTAAGTATAAGTTTTTCCTTCCCTTTTTCCAGTTGTTTTGTTGGTGAATTATTCTATGATGTAGATTGATGCAGCCCTTTTCAAAAAACTTGTTCTTTAGAAACTGCTAAATGGATAACTTGTCCTATATTATGACAGGAACCAAGCCAGGCTTCAGCGAAACCTAATGTACCTTGCTGCTATTGCTGATTCTCAACCTCAACCACCTACAATGCATTCTCAGGTACAGATCTTATTTTCGTGTCGTCACAAATCCCACATCGGCTTGGTAGGGGGTGTCATATATATGGACTGATAAGATCTTTGGGCGGTTCTTCCCGTAACAACTTAAGCTTTTGGGTTACTCGGCCGTGACAAGTGGTATCAAAGTGAGACCTAATGCGTCACAACCCTATAAGTCTGTGTGGGTCTAACATTGGGGATACCGGGGTCGATATGCCCGAGCCAGGTGGGCCCTCTTACTCCAGGGGTGGAGCCGATGTGATGAGAGTGTCACATCTTTGGGTGGGTAGAATGTCATGAATCCCACATCAGATAGTTAGGGGGCATCATGTGGGCTTATAAGATCTTAGGCTGTTCTCATCCTAACAGCTTGAGCTTTTGGGTTACAAGGCCGTGACACAGTGCAATCTTGCGTATTTATTAAAGGCTTTTGGCATATGATGACATCACTATGGTTTTTTGGGCTTCTGTCTTGGTGGTTCACACTTCATGTTATTTGGAATAATTCCAATAGGATAGAGTGTTGCTTCGTTCTTCTGAGCTATGCTCTGGCCTTTGATAAGTCAGTAATTCTTGGGTTTTACTGAACTTTTTATTTTGACCTCTTTGTTGCGGTATGACCATATTCATGGGTGTTTAGTGGCTATTGTAAAGATGGTAAGTCCTTTTGTGCTTTTCGGTTTGAAGGCACAGGTGAAGAGGAGATTTGTCTATGGGAAAGCATAGGTTTTTTTTGCATCCTTTTGGGCTTCAGTGTCTTCTCATTTTGCAGGAATTCCTCAAGTTTTGATAAGAGCGGATTGCAATCTCTATGTGAATTGTAACTGAATTTTCTTTTGTTATCTTTAGTTTCCTACTTTGATGGATGGCTCGTCCTTCTTGTAATATGTTTTATAATTAATAAAGTTATGTTGCTGATCAAAAGAACAAAAAAAGAGATGGCAATTACACATTAACACCTTTCTTTCATGCCCTACAGTTCCCTCCTGGAGGAATTATGCAGCCTGGAGCGCACTACCTGCAGCACCAACAAGCTCAACAAATGACACCACAATCGCTTATGGCTGCACGGTCATCTATGTTGTACAGCCAACAGCAACTTTCCTCACTGCAACAACAGCAAGCCTTGCACAGCCATCTTGGAATGAGCTCTGGAGGTAGTAGTGGACTTCATATGCTGCAAGGGGAGGCTACTAGTGCTGGAGGCAGTGGGGCACTTGGGGGTTTTCCCGACTTTGGCCGTGGCACAGCAGGGGATGGCTTGCAGGCTACTGGAAGGGGAATGCTTGGTGAGAGTAAGCAAGATATTGGGAGTGCCGGGTCTTCTGAAGGGCGCGGTGGGAACTCAGGAGGTCATGGTGGAAATGGGGGCGAGGCCCTTTACTTGAAAGCTACTGAAGATGGAAACTGAGAGGTAAGGATGGAACTTCTGAGTTGGTAACATCTGAACTTGGGAACATTTAGTTAGGGTTAAATCTAGGAGAAAGTGTGAAAACCCTTGCTGCTTAATGGACTTGTTATCTTGTGTGAAGCAAGAGAATTAACTTATAAGCCATGGATTAGTGTTTTAAGTGCAGTGTATCATGTAAATTTGTAGGCCATTATGATCTGATCTTGTGCTATGGTCTTGCTTAGTTCTATTTCCTGGCTGCTTTTGTCCTCTTAATTTCTTTGTGGATTATCATTATTGGCCAATGGTAAATTCCTTTCACATGTTCTTGAAATTTGGGTTGGCTTAAAATCAAATTATTTTCAGTATTGGGAATCTGGGGATGTCTATTTATACATATCATAAATTCAGTTTACCAAATTTGACATTGCTTTCCTTAATATTGTTCTGAGTTTTGTTTTGTTTTGTTCTTTCAAATTATCTACTCAACTTACCACCTGATATGGCTTTTTTCTTCCCCATGTCGCAAGGGTAAGACTCTGATATCAAAAATGTTGCAGTACCGAAGCTGCTACTTTTTTGTGTAAAACACATTTTTAAGGTTTAAATTGTAACAAAAATGGTCTAAAAACCCTCTTTTTGGGTAACTTGATTTTGAAAAGTTCGAAATTTTCTAATGCTCAAAGTGTAGCTGCCTTTAGTTGAATAAAGGAATAAGGGACCCTTAATTGCACAATTAAGTTAGCCTATAAAGGGGAAGGATGGAGATCAATAAAGGTAGGTATTAATCATTCCAATTGAATATTTCTCATTCTTGGTCTCTAATTTAACTTAGGCATTGAATTGTCGACCCTTAAAGCCCTTTTGGATTTCGACTTGCCCTTGCATGTGCTCTCTTTGATCAGGGAGAAGGTGATTGCATCCAAGGAGCTTGAAATGCAATTGATGGTATGAACAGTTGGTGATGTCTGTGAAAAACGCTAATTTTTTCATGATTTACAAGTAACTATTCTTGGGTTCCTAAAACCAATGGCCATCACAATGTCGAAGGACCCAGCTAGAGACCAAATCCATGATAACGAACGTCCAAGGTTACAACAGGTTGGCCAGCGAAACCCAGACTATCTTGAAAAAGAAATGGCGAGGGTAAAGAAAAAAAAACAGTGGAGGAGTTAGTTCATTAGAATCGATAGATCATATTGCTCCTAATTGTTCCACAACTTCAAGAGAAGAATTTGTTCCACATCTAAGAGCATTGAGGCGATAATAAGAATGATGATGTAAATTAACTTAGATGATCAGAAGGTATAATTATGCTTGGCAGCTTGGACGTGAGCCACAGGGGTCGCGATGATCGTAAGAAGTTTTGTTGGGGGATTGGGATGATTTACACAGTGAAAATATAGTGGTTCATCAACTTGGGAGTTCGGCTAGATTACTCTTTAATGGAGGCTCTTGCTCCTTTTGTATTGATAATGGGGGATGGAACTTACAATATGCTTCTATTACTACTCGGGTTTCTTGCCCTATATTGGAGGCATTGTACAGTATTTATAGTGCAATTTCAATTCCTAAGGATTCTCAGGCATATTCTTAGTAGAATCTTCCTTGATTTTTGGGGGGAGGATCTCAGTTGGTTGAGAATTATACGCCTGAACTTCAACCCTGTTGTCATCTAACTGTTTCCTTATCCTTTTTGGTATTGACTTGTCTGGGGGGGAGCTCTAGCCTGGGTCACTTGAGCCTTGCGCATCTGGTCAGACCTCCTGACCTGACTTAGACTCCTGGGCTCATACTTAACTGAAATTCCTTCTGGGTATTATCAAAGAAAATAAAGGACAGGCCACAATGAGGTAATTCAACCACAAACCAATGATCAATGGGAACAAAAGATACAAGAGGTCAACGACAAACTTGATACTGTCCTAAACATTGTGAAAGCCCGGGTTCCTGAAGTGGTTAACACACAGAGTCATCCTTTTCTCCTGACATGTCGAACTATCCTTTCCAGTAAGGTTCAAAATGCTGACAATTGAAAGTTTGGATGGACTAAAAGATTTGCTCAACCACCTAAAGACCTACAATCTCTAGTCATACTCTATAGCGTCCCATATCAAATCATGTCTAGAGCCTTTGCAACTATCCTCAAAGGAACTGCATAGCATTGGTTCAACAAGATAAAACCTAGTTCCATTAGCTCCTTTGTAGGGCTTAGCACATTGTTTATCTTGCACTTCATTAGAGGGAGAACGAACATGAGACCGCCCATTTACCTCCTAAATGTAAAGCAAACAAAGAACAAGACGCTTAGGAGTTTTGTCACTGCCTTCATGGGAGGCCATTAGCCTTCCCAGTTTTTCTTTTCATTATCCAAAGACCCACCCGAGAGTATGACTGAGCTACTGTCGAGAGCACAAAGTCATATGAATGCTGAAGACACACTCCTTGCTTGTAGGAGCAAGGAGGATAAGCATGAGAAAAGGAAGAGGCGTAACCAACCAAGCAAGAATTGTTGGGATTTCTCACTATTGAGAAAGTTGAATACAGAGAACGGCTGTACCATCCACAATTAACCCTAATCACCAAAACAACAGGGTTTATATGTCCTACGCACTGGGCTGTATAACGGGCCCAAAAAAAATTTTCCTCGGGGGCGTTGCCCCCGAACCCCCACGAGGCTTGTCCATGAGCGCTACGGCTTGGGCCTATCGGCCCAAGCCTTCGCTCCATGGACTAAGCCTCAGAAAATTTTTCATTAAAAACTACACAACATTATTTCGGGTCGGGTCATCATCCGGATCACATATACAAACTAGACTCCATAAAAAAAAACCAACAATTCTCCCACTTGGAGACTAGTTCAAACACCAACATCAAACTG